TAAATGCCTTTGTTGAAGAGGAGCCACCTGCTTTGCTGATTAGGACTTCAGGTGCACTCTTGTCCCCTCTGAATTGGTAAAATCCCTCTTTCAGGAACTCAAATAGAAGACAGGGAAGGCCATAGATAGCCAGGGAGGATCAGGGACTAACAGTTGAAATCTCAGAGTCTAAGGAGCTACACTTAGGCTAGCTTCAGGGTATACTCAGAAACCTTTGCAAGGTTGAAAGTCCTCAACCAGCAATGCCCCTGGATGAGTCTTTGTTAAGGACATCCTCTGGCTAGGGAAGACAGCTGCCTTGGCTGTAAAGACAAGGACTGGTCATAAGCTCATTGCACATAACTAAGGCTTGGTATAAAACCTAAACTCTTGACAGTGACAAAAGTGGAGTTCTTAAGCCATTAAACTATTCACTGCTACATGCTGGGGAAGGGCTCCAGCCTGTACGAATGCACTGTATGTTTCCTGTTACAATTCCATCTGGAGTAGTGTAACCGATGAGACACCTATAGGTTGTTTTCTCATATATGTTAAATATGTCCTTCTTTTCAGTGAAATAACCATGAGTTATGTCTATTTTTTTACATATAACTGAAACAAAAGAAAAGAAACAGAGCTACCTTAATCTAAAATACTATTAAAATGCTTTTTGGCTTTTTGAAAACTTAAGGTGACTTTGAGAAGACATACAAATGAAATAAACTATTTCATTTTTGAAAAACCCATCTATTCATTTAGCTCAAGTTAACATTTTTGAAAGAGGGTGAGGAAGGCAAGAAACCATCATCCAGGTGTTCACACTGATCCCATCATTCCTGATATTATTGTACAAACTGATATAAAAGTTGGGTGGGTGGAAAATGTCCAATTCTCAATTCTGTTGGGAAAAGTTCCCTGTTTATTATAAATGGTTTGCATAGAAATACTGTATGTTCTACCATATAACAAGCATTATTTTCCTCCAGTTGAGCAGGGGTAAATTGAGATGTATATTATATGCAAGGAAAAGGGCTCCCTACGCATCCATAAATTTGGACAGGGAGGGTGTCGGGGGAGGGGGGGGCAGAGCAGTGGCAGCATTAATACCTGTAGCTCTGGAAGCCATGGCAAATAATGCTACCACTTCTCAATCTTTTCTCCCTCCCTCCAAATTTCTGGACCTGTGAGAAGTTCCTCTCCTCATCCATGGGCTGGATTAGGAGGCTGTGTGAGGATGGTTTGGGGCTGGAACTGGCATGCCAGGGCTGAGTCAACACACAGTCCTCCACTTGGACCATGGTCGCAGCCTCAGAGTATGGCCCTGGAGCCAGTGTGCTAGATTGATCCCATCATACAGCCCTGGAGCTAGTATGCTAGAGCAGACCCTGCCACCCAGCCACCCAGCCCCAGTATCTGCACACTGCATTGGGCCCTTCCACATAGCCCCTGCCCCTGGCAGGAAAGAGGACCAGGGTCAGATGACTCCAGCCAGGTGACTATCTAGCCTCCTCTTGAAGACCTCCAAGCTAGGTGATAGCACCGCCTATTTTGGAAACCCATTCCAGATCCTGGCCACCCTTACTGTGAAAAATTTCTTCCTAATATCTAACCTAAATCTACTCTCAACTAGTTTACACCCATTATTCCTAGTCACTCCCTGGGGCACCTTAGTAAACAGTGCTTCCCCTATTCTCTGTTGACCTCCCCTAATAAATTTATTGGCAGCCACAAGATCTCCCCTCAGCCGTCCCTTGTGAAGGCTGAAGAGATTCGGCTCCCTCAACCTCACGGAGGGTCTATCACAAAGGCCACTAATCATGCAAATGGCCCTCCTCTGGACCCTCTCGAGATTCCCCGCATCCCTCTTGAAGCACGGCGCCCAAAACTGGACACAGTACTCCAATTGCGGCCTGACCAGTGCTGCATAGAGGGAGAACATCACCTCCTTTGTTCTATTAGTCATGCACCTGCTAATGCATGATGAGGTGCGATTGGCCTTGTTGATGGCCTCATTACACTGCCGGCTCATGTTCATCTTGGAGTCAATTATGACTCCAAGATCCCTCTCTGCCTCCGAGCTGCTGAGAAGGACACTCCCTAACCTATAAGTGTGCTGGTGGTTCCT